TGTTGTTTTTGCTTTTGTTGTTGTTGTTGTTGTTGTTGTTGTTGTTGTTGTTGTTGTTGTTGTTGTTGTTGTTGAACATTATTTATTCTAAGGAATAATTATTGTTGGGCCCCCTGGTGCGCGCCCCCCCTGCGCCGCCTAGGCCGCAGCTACATTTTCATCATTTTCGTGAGGAAGCCTCAGAAAAGAGGGTGTGTACAGGATCCGGTTGTTTTGTTGTAATCCGCTTTCCCTTGCAAAAAACAATAGAAAATGACATTTCTTGTTCTAATATAATCAAATTTCAAGAATCCCTTGCAAAAAATAAGGTAAAGTGGACATTCGCGCGCGCAAGACGAAATCCTTCCAAAACCTTAGTGTTCGCAGCGATTTTAACATAAAAACATCAAAAAACCAATGGTTTTTCAACAACAAATTGTCAAAATCTCATCCCGCGCGCTCTTGCGGATTCGTAGGAAACCCAACACTTTTTAAACATTTCTGTCAAACGGGCTTTTGCGAGCAACTTTTTCGAACTTCTGCGACAACGGTTGCGCACCTGCCAGGGCCATCATCCCTGTCAAATAATACCATGCGGGACACATTCGTTTTTTCTTCGCGCGCGCACGCCGAAATCTCCAAAAACCATTGGGCTTCTTAAGAATTTTAGCACCGCGCATCATAAAATCACACGAATCGCACCGTAGGTCCTCGAAAAACACCTGCACGACTTTTCAAAATTTCTACCCGCGCGCGCTGTCCGAATCCTTAAAAAACCAATGGTTTTCCAACATTTATGTTACATGAGCTCGCGCGAGCTACTTTCGCACGCTCTTGCAACGGGGTTCGCGCGCCTGCGAGGGGCCACAATCCCTTGCGGTTGCGCCATAGGTTGGTGGGGAAAAGACGGTGGGTGGGCGTGCAAGCGCCGTTCCCGCCCCTCCTCTCTCTTCTCTCCTTTCCTCCTTGTCCTGCTCCTCCTCCTCCTCCTCCTCCGGCGGGGGGCGTGAGGATCCGGCATCGCTCACAACCATCGGGACAACCATCGGGACAACCATCGGAACAACCATCGGGACAACCATCGGGACAATCATCGGGACAGTCATCGGGACAACGATCGGGACAAGCACAACCATCAGGACAACCATCGGGACAATCATCGGGACAACGATCGGGACAACCACAACCATCAGGACAACCATCGGGACAACCATCGAGACAACCATCGGGACAACCATATCCTCTCTCTCTTGTGTATTCCCACATCCCTCAGGAATTTGCCCTAAAGATGTGATCAACTATCTTGTGAGTACGTATCATGTGTATCATGTGTATCATGTACCATATGCATCATATGCAACAGATGTTCTGTGGAAGGCTTAACAACTTCTGTGGGTTAACAAGGCTTAACAACTTCTGTGGGTGTACGAACGTAGGCTTAACAACTTCTGTGGGTGTGTACTCCACGCCAGTGTAGTAGCCACGGTCGTCCGCAGGCCACGAAGTGAAGTGTCCGAACGTCATAGGGCGGGAAGCTGGGTGTGGGTGGTGGCGAAGAGTCGTGTGGATATTTGGTAGAGCTTGCACTGCCCCCCCACAAAGTGGGGGTATTGGCTGGCGTCGCATGAAAACCCTGGCACTGGTGAGAACACTGAGCGTTCGGGTAAAGTGATTGTTGTTGAACATTATTACTTCTAAAGAATATTATTGTTGGACCCCTGGTGCGCGACCCCCCTCCAAAACCTAGGCCGCAGCCTCATTTCCTTCATTTTCTAGCGAAAGCTTCAGAAAAGTGGATTGTTACCGGATCCGGTTGTTTTGTTGTAATCCGTTTTCCCTTGCAAAAAACACTATAAAATGAAAATTCTTGTTCTTACTTGATCAAATTGCAAGAATCCCTTGCAAAAAATAAGGTAAAGTGGACATTCGTGCGCGCAAGACGAAATCCTTCCAAAACCTTAGGTTTCGTAACGATTTTAACATAAAAACATCAAAAACCCAATGGTTTTTTAAGAAAAAATTGTCAAAATGTCCTTCCGCGCGCGCTGTCCGAATCCCACAAAACCAATGGTTTTTCAACATTTATGTTACATGAGCTCGCGCGAGCTACTTTTTCTTGTTCTAACATAATCAAATTTCAATAATCCCTTGCAAAAAATAAGGTAAAGTGGACATTCGCGCGCGCAAGACGAAATCCTTCCAGAACCTTAGGTTTCGTAGCGATTTCAACATAAAAACATCAAAAACCCAATGGTTTTTCAAAAAAAAATGTCCAAATTTCATCCCGCGCGCGCTGTCCGACTCCCACAAAACCAATGGTTTTTCAACATTTATGTTACATGAGCTCGCGCGAGCTACTTTTTCTTGTTCTAACATAATCAAATTTCAATTCCCTTGCAAAAAAAAGTAAAGTGGACATTCGCGCGCGCAAGACCAACAAAAAACACGACGATCTCAGGAACTTGCCCCAAAAATGTGACCAACTCCGCTCTCTCTGTCTCTCTCTCTGTCTGCTCTCTGTCTCTCTCTCTGTCTGTCTGTGTCATGTATTGTATGTCACAATTGCAGGATGCTGGGCACACGCGCGCCCCGAATAAGTGACCAAGTTCTGTGGGTGTGTACCCCACGCCAGTGTAGTAGCCACGGTCGTCCGCACGCCACGAAGTGAAGTGTCCCAACGTCATAGGGCGGGAAGCTGGGTTTGGGTGGTCGCGAAGAGTCGTTTGGATATTTGGTAGAGCTTGAACTGCCCCCCCACGAAGTGGGGGTATTGTCTCGCGTCGCATGAAAACCCTGGCACTGGTGAGAACACTGAGCGTTCGGGTAAAATGATTGTTGTTGTTGTTGTTGTTGCTGTTGTTGTTGTTGTTGCTGTTGCTGTTGCTGTTGCTGTTGCTGTTGCTGTTGCTGTTGCTGTTGCTGTTGCTGTTGCTGTTGCTGTTGTCGCTGTTGTTGTTGTTGTTGTTGTTGTTGTTGTTGTTGTTGTTGTTGTTGTTGTTGTTGTTGTTGAACCCCGCCCGTGCGCCACTTGCACTGCTTTTCCACTGGCCGCCGCCGGTTCCCACGCCGCTGCCTCACCCCGCCTGGCGCCCCGGTTCTCCTGCCGCCTGCTGCTTCCGCCCCCCCAGTTGCCAGGCCCCGCCCGCATTGGCACTGCGGCTGCTGGCCCCTCCCCTGGGTGCTCCGAGACGCCACCCCGCGGCTGCTGCCAGGGGCTGCCCTTCAGCCCGGCCGCCCCGCGCGCTCGCCGCAGCCCCGCTGCGTGAGAGTGCCCCCGCGCCCGGCTCCTCCCCTCCGCGGCCGCCCCTTCGAGTTTCTCCCTCCCTTGTGCATGCGGGCTAATTCGCGTCACCGTGTTCCCGTCTCGCACAGACGCGCGTGCGGGTTGCCTCTGCCGCGCTGCGACGTAAAAAGTGTTGGCTCTTGTTCCGCGAGTTTAGCTCTGCGCGCGGAGCGGGAGGAATGGGAAGCATCAGGAACGGGATAGCGGGAGCGAAGACGGCAGTGAAATCAAGGAACTGCCTTCGACAAGAGACATGCGCACGCTAAAACAACATGATCCAAAACGACGGGGCCACACACGCTAAAACAACGATCTTGCAAACGTTGGAAAGCGTATTGCCCCAGCGTGTTTGGCTGGTCAAGACCCAAAGCACAAAACGGTGGGGAAAAACCGCCCAGGGCGCTTCCAGGGCGAACGACGCACATGTGGCCGCGTGTCTTTCTAGCGGTCGGCCCTCCTGCGGCTGGCACGCCAGCCCTCCACATGTGGCCCTCATGTGTTCCGCATGCTGTGGGATGAGCTGCGTCTGTTTCCAGCCGCAGGGGCAACTCATGCCGTTGGCTGGTGATGTCTCGAATCGTGCGCCATTGAGCACCTGGAGGTGGCCTATCTCGCCGGGTCGGGGTCGGGGGAGGGACGGAGGGCGTGGCGAAGGCGTGCCAGCGGCACCACCGTGCACGTTGCCCCTGGTTCCGGTGCTCTTGTAGGAAGGCCCCAAACATTTAGAATTGGTGCAACACGTCGGCGCACGTGGGCGCCATCTCGTTGCGCTTGGGGAGGGGGCAGGCGCAGGAACGAGCGGAGGGCCCGAAACGCACCCCAGCCGCGGCGCAGCGCCAACAGCGGACACCCTGGGCCCAAGAGGGTGCCCGACTGTTTCGACGCGCGCGCCTTCTGGCACGGCCTTGTGCTCTCCTCCGGCGCTGGGCGTCCAGGGCAGCGGCCGCGCTTCGTGGTCACGGCCGCAGGGGCAGCACGGTGGCACCGGGAGGGGCGGAAAGGGACGGACGGTGCCCCGGGAAGGGTCCGGGGACCGATGCTGAGCCTCTGTGGTCTCAGCCCGCCCCGCGCCGAGGCAAGGTGAGGTGCGGGGGGGGGGGGGGGGAGGGGCGGATGGATGGAGGCCAGCGGGGGAGACGGGGTGCCCCCTTTGGAGGGCCTCCTTTCTCTCTTTGATATCTTGCTCTCTCTCTCTCTCTCTCTTCCCTCCTCTGGTCTTCCTCCCCCGCCCCTTCCCCCACCCCACTCTCCCTCCTCGCTGCACCTTCTCCCCTTCCTCCCTGCGCCTCTCCCCCTTTTCTATATCCCGTCCCAGTTTCCATTGCAGCGGTCTTTCGGTTTCGGCGTCCGAAAACGGGGGATGATATCAGAGAGGGGGAACATGAGGAAGAGGAGGAAGACGAGGACGATAATGATTATGATGCTGCTGCTGATGATGCTGATGATGATGGTGATGATGGTGATGCTGCTGCTGCTGATGATGATAATGATGATGATCATGGTGGTTACGGTGGTGGTGATGATGATGCTGATGGTGATGATGATGTTGATGATGTTGAAGACGATGCTGACGCTGATGCTGACGATCCTGCTGCTGATGATGATGCTGGTGATGGTGATGTAGATGAGGAGGAGAAGGAGGAGAAAGAGTAGGACGATAATGAGGAGGAGGAGAGAAGTGGCAGGTCTAATAATTACAAACCCCGACCACTGACTACTACGGAATCTAATCATGGCATTCCAACACGTACTGTTTCAACAACCGTGCTCCATAATAGCACCCGTAAGAACAGTAGTGTGACTATTCTTTTCTTATCTATAGATTCGGCGAGTCACAGTCAGAACCGCACCATGGACGCTGCAGCCGAAAAGACGACTCCTCAATGAACACAATTCATCTGGTCGCTATGATGAATCATAAGACGACGGGTGCTAATAGCACAGGGACGAGTAGAAGGAGGAACGCGATGACGAGCACGAAGAGGAGGAAGAGGGCGAGGAGGATGAGGCGAGAGGAGGGAGGCCAGCCGCCGAGGTCCAGGATCACCCTCTCCAGCCACGGGCGCAAGCTGGCCGGGATCCCGGAGGAGGCGGAACACTTCTTCTGGGTGTTCCCCCTGAGCCAGGACGGAAGGGGCGAATGAGGAGAAACATTCGAAGAGTAAGGGCGGGAGTGAGGTAGGAGGGGGAGGAGGAGGGAGGAGGGATGAGGGAGAAGGAGGAGGAGGAGGCGGAGGAGGAGGAGGAGGAGGAGGAGGCGGAGGAGACGGAGGAGGCGGAGGAGGAGGAGGAGGAGAAATGCCGCAGTGAGGGAGGAGGAATGAGGGAGTGACGAAGGAGGACAGAGGCAATGAGGAAAGAAGAAGGAAGGAGGGAGGAAGGAAGGAAGGGGGCATGAGGAAGGATGAATGATGGACAGTGGAAGGGAGGGAGGGAGGGAGGGAGGAGGACGAGGAGGAGGAGGAGGAGGAGACTGAGGGGTGGAACTGAATGGACCCCCTCGTGATGCGCATTGGAGGAGCAGTTAGAGGAGGATGAGGAGTGTACGTATCGACACGTTTCACCATGCTTGGGCCTATTATTGGACCTTGTCCGCCTCGATGTCCTGGTCAGAACGCGCTCCGACATATGTCCCATGGCTCGCTTGTTTTCTTCACGGAGAGGAGCGGAAGAAAGGGAGGGAGGGATTCAGATCAGGATAAGGTTGAGGATGATGACGAGGATGAGGATGAGGATGAGAATGCTGATGATGATGATGATGATGATGATGCTGGCGATGTTGATCACGATGCTGATGCTGATGCTGATGCTGATGCTGCTGCTGCTGCTGATGATGATGATGATGATGATGATGGTGGTGAGGCTGATGCTGATGGTGCTGATGATGATGCTGGTGCTGATGATGGTGATGCTGATGGTGATGATGATGATGCTGATGCTGATGATGATAATGTTGATGATGTTGATCACGTTGTTGATGTTGTTGATGATGCTGATCTTGATTATGCTGGCGATGGTGTTGGTGATGGTGATGATGATGCTGATGCTGGTGATTCTGACGAGGATGAGGAGGAGGAGGCGGAGGAGGAGGATGTGGAGGAGGAGGATGGAGCAAGCAAGGAAGGACAAGACAGCAGGGCCGAGGAGGATGTTTTCCATTGATTTCGGTTTCTTTCGGGTATTGTCGGGCGTCTCTGGGGTCTTTTCGAAGATCTTCGGAGGTCCCCGAAGATCTTCTCACTCCTCTCCACCTCCTCATTGCGCCCCTACCTACAATCTTCAAGCCCCGTCCTCCTCATTCCCCATTCCTCCTTCTCCTCCTCATTCCCCCTCGATGTCCTCCTCCCCTCGTCCTCAGTTCTCCTCTCCTACCGCCATGCCTCCTCTTCCTCTTTCCTCTTGCTCCCTCCTTCCCTCCCACCCTCGCTCCCTCCCTCCCCCTACGGAGGGGGGGAGGTAGAGGAGTGGGTAGTAGTAGTAGTAGTAGTAGTAGTAGTAGTAGTAGTAGTAGTAGTAGTAGTAGTAGTAGTTGTAGTAGTAGTAGTAGTAGTAGTAGTAGTAGTAGTAGTAGTAGTAGTAGTAGTAGTAGTAGTAGTAGTAGTAGTAGTAGTAGTAGTAGTAGTAGTAGTAGTAGTAGTAGTAGTAATCGTAGTAGTAGTAGTAGTAGTAGTAGTAGTAGTAGTGATAGTAGTTGTAGTAGTAGTAGTAGTAGTAGTAGTAGTAGTAGTAGTAGTAGAAGTAGTAGTGGTAGTTAGTAATTCGTATCGTAGTAGTAGGAGTAGTAGTAGTGTTGTAGTAGTGATAGTAGTGGTAGTAGATAGTAGTTTAGTCGTAGTAGAGTAGTAGTAGTAGTAATCGTCAGTAGTAGTAGTAGTAGTAGTAGTAGTAGTAGTAGTAGTAGTAGTAGTAGTAGTAGTAGTAGTAATAGTAGTAGTAGTAGTGTAGTAATAGTAGTAGTAGTAGTAGTAGTAGTAGTTGTAGTAGTAGTAGTAGTAGTAGTAGTAGTAGTCGTAGTAGTAGTAGCAGTAGTAGTAGTAGTAGTAGTGAGTAGTAGTAGTAAGTAGTAGTAGTTAGTTAGTAGTAGTTAGTAGTTAGTAGTTAGTAGTAGTAGTAGTAGTAGTAGTAGTAGTAGTAGTAGTAGTAGTAGTAGTAGTAGTAGTAGTAGTAGTAGTAGTAGTAGTAGTAGTAGTAGTAGTAGTAGTAGTAGTAGTAGTAGTAGTAGTAGTAGTAGTAGTAGT